TGTGTGTGTGTGTGTGTGTGTGTGTGTGTGTGTGTGTGTGTGTGTGTGTGTGTGTGTGTGTGTGTGTGTGTGTGTGTGTGTGTGACAGACTTTTTCTTGTTCAGCAGGGTCAGAATTTCATTATTCCATGTGTATCCAATTTTTTGACAACTTCATTTTTACTGTAGTATATCACCACTGCAAAGAAGAGTGTACCTGAAAGAACCCCTGCACAGGAACGACACTTCCAATCGTCTCTCCCCTCTAATTTTCAAGCTTCAGAATCAGAATCCTCACTAAAATGTGGTACTGACAGGCTAGTAGTCAAAATTCATAATTAAAATTTTTGATGAAGTTGGTGTGACTTCAAAGTTCTTGAATAGTTTAACTAGTAGTAGCAGTAGTAGTGCAAGTACTAGTAAAGAAGTATTGTGCAGTTAAAATGAAATTCAAAAAAATCCGGGGGGAACATAATTTTTGACCCCTGCATACTGGTACGTACGTGACTGGCACAGAAGTTGCAGCTCACCGCAAGGGATTAAATCGACTAGTACGACTAAACTGAAGCGGCACCCACCAACACCACGAATTTCGCCCTGTGTCGTATCGCCGTTATCTGATCCACCAATTAGAGGAATTAGAAGTACTGTACTCGTTTGCGTGCTTACGGCAAGGAACCGTAAGGCATACGTAACGTAAGGTACCAGTACGTGCTTATTTGGCTGTACGACACAGCAAAAAGCTACGATCCCGCCGGCTCCAGCATTTTGAAAAAATTAAAATGCTTCGAGATTTAAAGAGGACCATCACCATCTTCTTGACCTCTCTCAGTATCACCCGTACCGCTACTACGAACTGATAACACCAACAACATTGCAAACTTTCCCTGTATCACCGAACTATTGGGTCTTATTTCGATTACTGTATTGTTTTTTCCTTTCAATCTAAAGTTTTACAATGAGTGCGGAAGAAGTTGCGAAAGCATTTGTGGGTCACTATTACCAAACATTCGACAGCAATGTCGAAGGACTTCGAGGGCTATTCGTAAGTTTCTCGTCATAGAAAATCGGCCGAGCTATCATTCAATCTAGTTGCCACCAGCTACTATGCCGATTTGATCCATAATTTACGCACACCCTGATTTTAGATGTACTTTGATTCTTACACTAGCGTCTTTTCTTGTGCAATCTTCCAAACTAACAACGACGTGAACATATCGAATTGAATACTCATGTCCTTTGTTGTAGAATGATAAGTCCATGATGACATTTGAGGGAAATCAACTCATGGGTGCGTCGCCAATCCTGGAAAAACTTAAGAGTTTTGGACAAACGAAGCATAATGCAAAGACGATGGACATCCAACCAGCTATTGACGGCGCATCCATTGTAATTTTTGTCACTGGAAGCATTGAAATTGGTGGGCCTGGGAACCCGCTGCACTTCAGCGAATTCTTTTATTTGGTGAGCTCTGGGCCCGGCCAATATTATGTCCACAATGATATCTTTCGACTCAACTATGGATTGTAGAAAACAGAACCTCAAACAATAAACCCGGAGAACGTACTAAACAAGCGATTTGTGGGTGACTGCCAGTGTTCATTTCTTCGTACTTGAAGACTTTTTTGAGATGGCACTAATTTTGGAGGAAGGATATACTGTGAGATATACATCTGAGTGGATTGGACGTAACTGCCCCAATAGATTGATTACTGAATATTCCGATGTTTGTCTCGGGTGATTCTCCGTTCACAAACACGCTATCTTCGCCTTACGCTAGATTGAAACGACTACAGTTTGTATGACTACTTTGTTGTCGCATAACATAGAGTTGGAATACTGAGATAGACAAGTTAGAATTGAAGGTCGTTTCTATTTTCGTAGAACTAGAACTTAAATATACAGTGCTGACTTTTTATGTTTATTTTTCGAAATATGTTATTCATTTTTCCCGGAAACTCTCATCTGAGTTAAAAGGAATGATGTGGCTGATTTCTTCGCTTAACCAGTCCTCACCTTGATCTTGTGTTACAGGAGTCAATAAGGTTTCTTCTGTGTTCAATACAGTAGTATTTTTCCCACCATCGATCATGCGCTTACTGTTTCTTCTTTTGCGGTCGATATTCTGCGATGACAACTGCGTGATCTCTCTCATAAGGCTCTAATGTCAATTGTTCCAATGGTTTGAAATTCTCTTTTTGTAGCTTGCTAACTTCTCTTCGGAAGACTGCTTCTGGTGCCGCTGTGGAATCGATGCAACTCGCCTTGATGGCAATTACAGCATGCCCACCATTCTTTAGGAAGTGATGAGAATTCAGGGCAACAATACGAGCTTGATCGGGCTGGGCAACATCGGCAAACACGCAGTCAACCATTCCGATTAACATGCGGTATTTAAGGGGATGTCTGGCATCTTCAACGATGGGAATAATGTTGGTGCGAAGCTTGGCAACGCCCAACAGATCGCGTCCGGGACGGTGGGAAAATTCTACGGCATAAACTGCGCCATCCTTTCCAACAATGTCTGAAACATGAGAAACGGAGGTTCCGGCAGCGGCACCGATGTAAAGAACTTTCGAGCCCGGCTTGATCCAGATATTATCGACACCACCCAGAACTGCCGCAGCGACTTTTTTTCAGAGAAAAAGCAGGATGTGAGCGTGGTCTTTCACAAGCACAAACACAAGCACAAGCACAAGCACAATCACAATAGAAAGCTTTGGGAAAATTCCTTTTTTGGTCCAAACTTACTCTTCGATCGGAAGGGATTCCAAACACGGTATTCTGTTTTTACGGCGGCACCACCCGGTTCTTTGGATGGCGTCTCGACACTGATTCTCTTTTCTCCGTATACGGCAACACCGGGAGTGGAGTTTAGTGTGACCAATGCATCTTCCTTGCCGCGAGCTACGAAAATTCCCTCGTGACGATGGGGTTCAACGACAACCTTGGAGCCACCTTTCATACCTCCTCCCCTGCCACCTCGGCCTCCTCGTCCGCCTCTACCACCGCGGCCTCCGCCACTGAAGAGTTGAAACAAGAAATATTGTTTGCACCTATTAGCGTCAAAGATCGATTCCGCACTCATTCAAGGCGAAGACTAAAGAACACACTCGTACTTACCGTCCCCCACGGCCACCGCCTCTTCCGCCACGACCTCCACCGCGACCGCCTCCTCTGCCTCGGCCACCTCCGCGGCCAAAGCCCCCACGACCACCACGGCCTCCGCCACTTCAATTCCAAAAACAGAGTAAGGCGACAAAAGGTGAGCAATCGATCGGAACTGCGATGTCTAACATGCCCTTCCTAAGGTTAATTCTACGGTTGGCGCTTTCGCTGCTGATTTAACTCACCGTCCATATCCTCGTCCTGACATATTTCAATTTCAATTAGTTGCGCTGATAAGGAATAGTAATTTGTGCTTTGATATGCGAAACCTCAGTGAATCTGAACTGGTGTTTCTCTATTTGTTCTTCTTCGTAATCTTATTCTTTGTCTCGATTGGTTAAAATAAGTTGCGAGTGATGTGTGGTATCAACTGCTTTTGATGTGGATGCTGTTTTGCACTGGTGCTGTCACTGTCGCAACCAGCGAGTGATGGCTATCATTTGCAAAACAGGTGTCTCCAAAAAGAATAGATATTATCGCGCATCGGCTTCTGCTGTGCCGTACTTTGATTTGATGCCGTTCCCGGTTTGGACTCTTTTTGAGTGGCTTGTGAAAGTCGTTGACTGATTCCTGGCGACGGTAAGACGCTTGACCCGAATATTAATTTCGAAATTCATTCGTACGACCGTTCGTACGATTCGTACGAGTTAATTCACAGTAAAATGACCCCCAAAATTAACTGGAAATTGGGCCACCATCTCCTAGTAGTAGTAGTAGTAGTAGTAGTAGTAGTAGTAGTAGTAGTAGTAGTAGTAGTAGTAGTGTAGCTTTGGTAGACTACGTCACACAAACCTGTACTATGGTTTTTTTTTTTTCCTGGGTACATGAAATAAAATTCGCGCGCGTATTTTGTGATGCTCGCACGCAATTATCTGGCCGTTTTCCTTGGAACATGTTATCGTACCACTCATTTCTCATGTGGAGTTCGATGCCCTTTCTCATGCTCAAAATTAATTCTTTTTC